CATCGTCCACGGCTTACAGGGCTTGGTCTCGCACTTATCTCCGCGTTCTTGCACCGTCGAAAGCATGACTTCTTTGTCCCTCCCCCAACGGCCGCCGCCCACGGCGGCGTTCCTCACAATGCACTTCATGCTGAAAGACGCCATGACGACACTGCGCACCACCGGGTACAGTATAGTCGCATTGGCGATGCGGGTCAAGTATTCGGAGCTTTCGGACCTCAAAACCCTGACCCTTTTCGCCATCGACGATGAATCCATCTTCCTGGAAGGCGGCGGAAGCCACGCCTACGTGGCGGAGCTAGGGTTCCACATTCTGCCCAACAGGCTCCTGACGGCGGCGGATTTGATTAGCCTGCCGAGAGGCACGGCGTTGCCGACAATGGAACCTGGTCGGGATCTGGTGGTGACCAGCTCCGGCGACGGAGGGCCAGTGGCACCGACGAGGATCAATTATGTGAAGGTGAAGAGATTTGATCTGGTGCGGAACCAGAGGATTGTGGTTCATGGACTGTCAACGCCGTTCCGCCACGTGGACTGTCATGGCTTGTGAAAGTCACTTGAATTCAGTGTTACGTAGTTTGTAAAATTGAACCTATTATTTTTTTTAATTGGCTGTAATTCACAAAAATGCATACTTCAATGAAATTGGATATATACTCTGTTATATAGCAAAGCTTTATGCTTCATTCTCTGTTTCAATTCCACATGCAATTTTCCCATTACCGACCATATTTGTAAACTGATACTAATTTTCTAACCAACCAATTGAATCGGCCCGAAAATTTCAAATGGGTCGGTTTATGTATTAATAGTATGTGCTGGCAGGATTACAATACATTAGGTTGTATCAAAACTTCCCAAAATAGCTAAATGACTCTCCATTCTACAATCACTCCTTTACAAATTCTTACGCTTTCGGTATTAGATTATTAAAGTACACCATTTACTGGAATATATTAACTGTAGAGAAATCGAAAAAGAAAAAAAAAAAGAAAACTCGAAATCGAATAGAAGAGGCGGAGACCGATTACGATGACTAAACCTAGAAATTAACCTTGAACCCAAACGCGCAAAGTCCTGTCATTATGAAGTCCGGCAGAAACAATCATATTCTCTGTTGGATGACACGTCACACAGACAACAGTATCGGTGTGCCCTTCGAGTTTCTGAACCAAGTTTTTGCCCTGTAAATCCCACAAATAGACGCATTTATCCTCTGAGCCACTCACAATGTACTTCTCCCCCGACACTGAGAATGTCGGCGTTATGCAATATACTCTGTTCACATGTCCCGTATATATCTTCAAGAACTTCCCAGCTGAATAGTTCCATAGCTTCTGCAATCAACAGCAAAACGTAATACAGATCAAATTTCGTATATTACAACTCAAATTTCGTATATTGGAACTCAAATTAGCCACACGACAGAAAAAAACTTCCGGTGTGCACTTCACCAACAAATCCCATTTTGGCCACCAAAGTATTATCAGCTCTAGATTTACTCTTCTTAAAAACTTCGTTACTTTATGCCCTTATGCAACGATTTTCTAATCAAATGGTCACTGTACAGTATATCCAAGATTAAAAACCACTCTTGAATTACTTCGACAATCTCAAGATTTTGATTAATAGAACAGCTAAATGTCAATCCAAATACTTCACCCCATCGAAATTCGACTTTTACGATTTAGCGAATTCAGCAGTGTTTAGCATTCCGGGATCATGCAATTTGAAAAGATAGCATCTTTCTTTCCCCAACATTTGACATTTTTTTGAAATAGTACAGAATCAACCCAAAACCTAATAACGATGAATCTAAATTATAACACTTGCTAAACTGGAATTTCCAGAAGAAAAAAATAGAGATTACCAGGGTATCATCCAAAGTGCCGACGAGGATGAATTTGCCGTTGGGGGAGAACTTAGCAAAAGACACAGCGGTGACCTTGTCATCAATCAGCGTCTTAAGCAGAGTCCCACTCGCCGCATCCCAAATTTTGCAGGAACCGTCGCGGCTGCCGGAAACAATCAACGATCCGTCTCGGTTGAAATGCACCGACATCACCGGCAGAGTGTGGGCCCGGATCACGTGCACGCACTTCCCCGTCTTCACATCCCAGATCCTGACCGTCTCGTCGAACGAACCGGAGACGATGAAATTCGACTGCGGGTTGAAGTTCACGCAGAAGACGAAGTGCGTGTGCCCCTTGAGCGTCTTCACGCACTCGGCGGCGCGTGCGTCCCAGATGCGGAGGGTGCGGTCGTCTGATGCGGAGCAGATGTAGGTGGAGTCGGATGACCACGCGAGGTCGGAGACGCCGTCGGAGTGGCCGATTAGGTGGGAGATTTGGGTTAGGGTTTCGGTGGAATAGACGATTAGGGTTTTGTCGAGGGAGGCGGAGGCGAACAGCGCGCCGTTGTTGGAGAATTTCACGGACGAGACGGCGGCCGTGTGGCTCGTGATTACTTTCTTCAGGCGGTAGGGCTGGTAGGTAGGTGCACTGTTGGCACTGTTCGCCATGGCAATCGAACAACCACCCCAGCCTAACTCAATTGTTTATATGTCAATTAACTAAATATTTTTTTGTTTTTTGAACAAATTAATTAATTATATTCTAATATAGTCGTTTTTTTTTTTTCTTAATCAGAAAGCATATATATATATTTGCTATACATTTCAATTCAAAAATTTAATCCTCCAATTTCGTTGATCTTTGATTACAAAAATGTGTTAAAAAATTCTTATTTTTCTTGTTCATTGCAAATCTAGTTATATTAGCCAACAAATTCCACACCACCTTGACCAAAAGACGACGATATATCGAAGAAAACACCGAGAATCGAGATCGAAGAGAAGAAATTCACATAGTTACATTCGTACACTTTTGCTTTGTTGTGCCATTTTTCTCTGAGCTGAATATATTTGTTGTATTTGTCCCATATTGAATGAGATTGATACACTGGCAGGGCGAAACCAATTGATTAAATTTACTGCTCTTTTTTTTTTTTTCGTTTTTTTACGTAATTTAATTAACTTTTTCGTCACAATAAAATGGTTTTGCATTGATGGAAAGAAGCCTAACATTAGCCAAGTATCTTAATAGAATCCAGAACAGGCTTCGCAATGGGCATATTAACAAATACATGAATTTGAACACACTAGCCACTATGCAGCCCAATCTTAATAAAGCTACAACGTTTACCATCTCCAAACATAGAAACACAAAACTCGAAAGCGTTCGCATATGTTAACATGCATTTTTTCAGCAATTGTTTTACTGAACAGCATAATTATTGAACCACGCGCTATAAGCAATTTAAGTGAGAGAAAAATACAAGAATAAATTTCATGGGAAATAAGCAATCACCTTCGGTATACTCAACCTTTTACAGCATAACCTGTAAATTGTAAGCTCTACAAGTAATCCACCTCATCGGAACTTTCCTCGAGAATTGGATGACTTTGATCACTATTATAACTGCTCTCCGATGAACTCGTAAACACCAATGGATCGTCGGATGTATGGCTGCTTGTCAGTGAGTCACTCTCACTGTTCACACCACTGCTGGTCATTGGCTCTTCTACGAAACTAAGCATCACAGAAAGTAATATCCAAATTAAAAAACATAAATCACACAGGTTCTTTCTTATTACCGGTGAGATTTAATTTACCTTCCCTCTGTAGGAAAATCTGCGAGCACACACAAATTAGGTCTTTCGTCCAATAGCTCGCCTAGAGACATGAAACTGCATGATTGTTTTGTCAGAACTAGTTGAAATTAACATGTGAAGTTATTATTAACTGTATATGATGATGCATGCGTACCTTGGGGTGAAACTTCGACGGGACCAGTCATTATCCGATGCCAGTCCCTCTCGGTTGGATATGTCCTGTTTGCACATTAAAACCAAAAAAATACTAAAATGTATATTTGAACTACAAGGAAGATGGAAGCAAAGGACGAAGGGTTTATGTTTTAACACTTACAAGGTGCCTAAGGTACACGAAGCGTCCGGCAAGCATTGCTGACAGCAATCGAGAAACTTCAGCCTGGATGACACAAATTTCAGATTAATATTTACCTTTGAGAGGACTGACCTACTCTTTCTATGTATTTCAATCCTCTTTTTGACATCAGTTCTACCTACATGAGATATTCAATCAATCTTTTCTTTCTCGTTTTCTTTAAAAGTTGAATCTATAAAAATCCAAATAATGTGACATAATGATTTGACTTCTGGGATCCAAGGCATCCATCATGTTTGTGTTGTATGTGTGTGTGTGTGTGTGTGTGTGTGTGTGTGTGTGTGTGTGTGTGTGAGAGAGAGAGAGAGAGAGAGAGAGAGAGAGAGATATGAATCCTTACTTCTCTCAAGTGCATACAATCCCGTAAAATCAAGACCTCTAGTAAGTTTGCACCTGCATTGCCACCAAGATTCCTGGAAGCAGGATAGTCAAAACATAATGGAAACACATATGCGGGACATAGAGTCAGCCGTGAATCAAAAGAACTATCCAATATCTAAGAGAATTAATCATACCTGAGAAAGTCACCAGTAATAGAGTAGGATGTTGAAAAGTCAACATACTTCAGTTTGCGGAATCCCTGCATTCACATCATATATCCATTCCAAGTGAAGTTTCGACAACATTGAGGGAGGAAGAGGAGAAGGTAAAGAAAGAAAAGACACATTCAACAAGTAATAACAAATTTTTCATCATCATGAAAGCCTACCTTAACAAGTGTCCGAACTTTAATGTCATGCAATTTAAATCCTCTTAGTGACAATGAGGATAAAGACGGGCAGTTAGTCACTAGATCATTGCACGTCGGTAATTTTAAACTGTCATCTCTACCTGAGAGTAAATACTGTAACATAAATAAAATGACTTTTCGGAACAGAAAGTACATGGCTTAACTAAAAGTTCACCTGTTTTTGATGATTCAAAATATAGACGCTCTATTAGAGGACAAGATCTACTCACTGACTCCAGTGTCTGCCTCAGCTCCACATGACTACAAAAATGAGTGATCAAGTAGAAAATAACAAAAACGAATAAACTATAGAAAACAAGTCGAGAGGTAAAATAAATCATCAACTACATCTGAAGCATCAACAGCTTTCTAATAATGCACATCCCAGATTGTTTTAACTTGCAAATACAACAGGAGCAGTTTCGAATCCGGGGCTTTTTATCCATTATACATGTATTAGATTGTCTCGTTTGGGAAAAGAGTTAGAACAGTTTACAGTGCAGTGAATAAGACTCTATTTATCCTAAAAATCAACTCAAAAATTGTTCATTATGACAAAACTATCAATAAGCAAGAGACAAAAAGGGGTTATTAAGGGTAATTACAAAACCTAAGCAACTCGAATTCAGGGATGCATATGAACTATGAAGCCCAAAACCCCCCTTAAACTATACCTGTAGAAGATTCACATCTGTTTTCAGACAATAGATAGTTATCTAAGACTATCCACAAACTAGGTGGTCACCCACAATGTCACCTGTTCTTCATCTCCAGACCATGAAAATAACGAAGAGTTAGAGGATGTAATAGAATATGTTCCGAGTTTTGTCCTAGATGCCATTCAATTGATACTGGTTATTGGTTTAACATACCAATTACATTTCAAGTGCATTATAAACTGAATATAAGACAGTGACAGAGAATACATAATAACATGCAGAGACGGGAAATTACGTAAGCAACTAAATAGGTTTGAGATACTCACAGGCCAACAATTTCTAGGTCGAGCAAAGAAGGGCAAGCTGATACTGCAGCTCCAAATGCTGTATTGTCCATTCTATCAATATTATACAGGTGTAGCCTTCTCAATAGAGAACTGGACAAGGAAAGCAAGGAGAGGAGGGTGAGACGCTTAGAGCAAAGGATACTCAAGTTAAGCACAAGAAACATAGCCTACTACAAAATGGAAGCATTAAATGTTACCCCAGCGCACCACCATCAGCAATCAACGGAGCCAAGCAAGATCTACTAAGTATAAATGACTCTTTTCCCTGTCTAGACCTTTTGTCATTCCAAGAAAATCCTGAAGTGTCTGAGGAATTCCTCATAGAATAAACCAGTGGTTGAGACGAGCCTAGTGATGCAGCATCAGGACAGGGTACAACCCCAAGCTTAAGAGACCTACAAGTAATAAGAAAATCAGAGCCATGTCTATGGAAAATGCAGCAATGCCTACGTGCAAAAGTATCATTTGCCTACAATCTTTCACATAGATGCAGACACTTGAGCAGATATAGCAATTCTAGGTCATGCCTCAACCAGATAAATCAGCCCAGCGGAAAAACGTAAAAGAAACATGTTAAGAAGTGTATTATCTCCACAGCACGGAAGTTAGGTTTATTGCAGAGTGAAAAAAACTGAAACTAAATAATCTTAGTTAACCAATAGGGAATCATAAAATCCAAGTTTCTTTAAATATGAGACATGCACCAATCACATTATTAAATATCAAAATTAAAACAGCCACATGATTTTGCTGGCTAATTTTTTAAGGTGGAAACAGGAAGAGAAACTAACAAGATTTCGATCATTTTTCCTCCCCCACATTACCCGCCCCAAAATAGTGGCCCAATATTACAAGAAAAGGTAAATCTCATAGATCTTACCGCAGATCTTTTCCAGCTCGTTGGATCATAGTTGAAACTACCATATTGTTGATCTTAGGCACTACTGTGGTCAAATCAATATTGGAATAGCACAACGGGTCAGCAGCACACTTATGGAAAAAAGAGCATGTAGCTGCTGCATGGCATACACTTTGAGTATCGAGCATTGAAAATACCTGTAAATAGACCGTATTCATACAGAACTGAAACGAGAGCGAAGACTACTATGCATCCTTGTCAAATCATTTCATTGGATAGACATACTTTGTACAGACACAAATTATTTAACAAGATAACAAGTACCTACATGAATAGTTAAAAGACAAGCAAAGAAAGCATCCCCAAGTGGAATCAATTCACAGATAGAAAAACAACGATAAGCAAAAATCTCCAGCAATTACACTAGCTTTTCTTTTCAGGGAGAAAAGCACAATTTCATGCTGCAAATACAAAGGTCATTAACAATAAAAAATCAAAATACGTAAAATGATGCCCCACAGAAGAATTGACCCAATAAAATAGTACCAAAGAGTTCCAATAAGACTTAAGCTCAAGAAACTTAGACACTTCAAATCAATTGGCAAACTGAAGCTAATCAGCAGAAGCATCCAAGTTTTTGGACAATGTAACAATCACCAGACAATTACCAATTAGGAGAAGTACAACAATAATACTACTAGTGTATTCAAACACAATGAATCTACAAGTAATTGACGATCCATTCCAATTCAGTGTTGAGAAACATTTGATACCACATACAAAAACGTTGCACAATTTCAGAGACCAAAATATGTCGGTAACAGAGCAAAGTACCTTAATAGTAAGATCCAATGGTAGAGCCCAAACGAAAGCGTTGTGCACGGAAGCGCGCCTCCTAGCGGATCGATTGGCAGCTTCAGTGAGAGCAGAGCCGAGCCGGAGAGCTCGGTCGATGACGTCATTCTGGTCCGAGTCGTAGTGCCTGGATTCGAGAATCCGATCGAAGGATAGGTCGAGAGCAACCGCGGACGAATCGGAGAGTTCGAGAAACGATTCCAGGAGCGCGTCCAGTGGATTTGGATTCGATTTGGAGCTCAGAATCCTGCTCGAGTCGGGGAAAATAGAGCAGCATGGGCGTTTCAGATTGGGCTTCGGAGCAACGGAAACGGCGTCGTCGATGAGAAGACTGCTATCCATCACAGGCGGTGGAATCCTCTCTCTTCTCTTCTTCGTCGTCGTTTTATTATTCGTTCGATTTTGTTTTCTGCGTTTTTTTTTGTGTGTGTTCTGAGAGGATGAGAGAGAAGGCGGAGTGCGTGAGGTGGGGAGTGAGAAAAGAGAGTGACACGTGGCGTTTGGAATTTGTCTACGTGGGAAGGGTGCAGTTCTCGGGAAAGCAATTACGTCACCGTTTTAGTGACGTTAGTCTAATCGAGGTCTTCCCTCTTTCTAGTGGTGGTCAACTATTACTTTCACATGGATTTTAATATTTTATCATGAAAACAAATATTTAATTAGAGATCAAACTATTAAAAAAGAAATAGTAATATCAAAAGTGAATATGCAGCATCACTTAGTAGAAAAATATACAAGAAAATAAAAAATTCTTTGATGTAACTAATTGATTAAAACAAAATATGTGAAAACAAATAAATATCAAATAATGAAATTTTCTACATAAAAAACGACTATATATTTGGTTCCAACGCGAGCAACCATAATACTCAATTAATTCAAATTATTCATTTGACTCAAATCAATTACTATCAAGATTGTGTTTGTCAATTATTGTATGCCGAATCCAATTGTTCAAGATAAAATAATTAAACGATTTTTTTTAAATAGTTGATACATAATAATATATAATGATATCCGATTTGTCCCGTACAATATATATTGCATGTCGAATACAATATATTAGATTTTTTTTTTGGTTTAATTAATGAAATTATGATATCCGTTTTTTTGCATAGAGTTGAAAATTAGTGTTTGACTTCTTAAAAAAATTGATCAATCTTTATTTTACATATTGTTATAGTTTAATTAATTTTTTATTTTTTTACAAATTTTTACTATTATTCAAAACATTATAAATAGCCAAATTTAATTGATGAAATCAATTTAGTAGCAACTCTACCATTCCCATAAGCCTTGGCAGTAATTTAGGACGAACTCGATATAACAAAATCCAACTCGCCCGAGGCCCAATAGTCGAGCCCAACGGCAACAATGTGCCCTAATAGAACACTCTACACGAGTGTTTGCATTTTTATTAACAAACTAAATCAAATTAATTTTAAAAATCATGGCGCGTTTAATTAATAAATTTCCAGAACCTACACGAAATGCAGCTCAATACGCCATTCGGTATGATCGATTTGGCGCTGTGGCCAGATTATTTTGGCGCGGCTGAAGCTTATCGCAGCTGAATCATGGCCTCATTGGCGACGGTGAGTGAGTTCCTTCTGTCATGGTGTACATTTTATATTTTTTTTTTATTTTTTTTTATAATTGCACATTTTATAGCCGATTACGGTGTTTTCCTCCAAAAACTAAAAAAAAAAACAGAGAGCTGGTTATGGTGTTATTATTTACTGGAAAATGGAAGATTCGTGCTCATTCGTCTTCTGTATATTTGTATGCTGTTGTCCTCCTTTTACCCTGCCCATTTTTTAGTTGAATTGAAAACTCACAGTCAGATCTCTTGTTTCTGCGCGTTTTTCCCTGTCTATGTAATATTGTGATGTATCAAATTGATAGGTTTTCAATAAATAGTTCTCGAAAGTTCTGGTGTTCGTGCCACGGTGAGTGAATTGGAGATTTCTGTTGGAGAGATAATATTGTGATGTATCAGATTGAAAGGTGTTCAATAAATAATTCTAGAAAGTTCTGGTTTCGGTGAGTAAATTGGAGTTTTCTGTTGGAGATATAATTGACTAAGTTACCCACGGAAGGATTAGATCAATTTTAATACCGTTCCGACGTTTTTATATGGGAGTGAAATTTTAAGAAAACGCAACCGTTGAAGGATCAGATGAGTTTTTTTTATTGTCGAGTATTAATTCATGAAATGCTCGATGTAATATCTACATGGATTCATTTTCTATTTTTTCACGAAATTCGGAAAAAATTGTGAGTGAAGAATGTATTGGAACAAAAATTAGAAGTAATGATATTCTCTGTGATTTGATACTAGGTGAGGATGCATATGTCTGGAAAAAAGAAGAGAAATATCTGGTACCAGTAATCTGAAAAATGTGGTACCGTTATTATGTAGATTTGCCGATATACGTCTCAGATGAACTCGTTTGATGAATTCATTGGTAATGATCTGAGACCTCAATTGCTTTGATGAATAGTTACTAATTTGTAAATGTGAATTAAGAAGTTAAAGAAAAGAATTCTTGGTCTGATTTGGCTCTTGGTGCTTCTGGCAATTTGAATAATCTCACAAGGAGTTGTGGTTCGATCTGAAGTTATTTTGGTATTAAGATGAATGTGTTTGCTAATTGTTATGAAAATTCTTCAGTATTAAGATGCGAGTGTTGGTTATGTTTACAGCAATCCAGAGGTTGAAGGACAAAGAGCGTCATTGCATGGACATGTCACTGCAGTAACTGAAGGTCTCGAACATGGCAGGCATCAATTGTTCAAGAAACTGATGAAGATGGCCTCTGCGCAATGCTATGGTGAGAAACTATGCTTCGGCCATTGTTCTAAGGTCTCATTCTCTTGTCTGAGATTCTTTGACATCTTTTTTTTTTTTTTTTTTGAGAAAATTTAATTTCTTGTATTCCTTTTGTTTTTATTATGCTTGTTTGTTATTTATTTGCTTCTTTTAATCTTTCTTGATAATGTACTCCACATACTTCAAACTAGAGAATCTCTTCAATTATTTTCTGGAGCTCTTCCCTTCGTTTACGTGTTTTTTCTTTCTTTTGTTTTCTTTAGGTTAAGAGATGTATTTTCGATCTTGATTTGTACTTCCACCGGGAACGATGATTCCAAGCAATTTAGCGATCTTGTTTGGTTTTTTTCTCTGCTTCACTATTTATCAGGATCTAGAATATGTTGCATGAAGCGGAGTATGATTAGCAGATTAGCTTAGACTGAATATTTGAATTGAAGGTTGCAGAAAGATTGTCTGAACTGGTTGTTTTTGTGAAGAAACTTTCTTTTCCTTTTGTAAATAGGTTGTATACGTATGATAAACTTGTCAGCACAAATCGTACTTACTGTAATTCCTCATATCTCTTAGCTGCAATTACTTAAATGCTAAATCACAAAGCAAAATTATTGGTGAAATTCTTGTGCACTTGATTTCTACTCTTGGTTACTATTTCCTAGCAATTTCTTTTCCTTTTTTCAGAGGAGCATAGTTTCTCAGTAATGTTTGTAACTTAATTTTTTACAGTGATATTGGCGTAATTTGTGGAAGTTCTGTTTGATCTTCAAATATACCTCCCATCAAGATATCTGAGAAGGTGGAGGATAATAAAATGCTACCTTTTCCTTTCCTTCAAATTGTGGCCAAATAATTACATTAATATTTAGATTGAGGAATGCTTAATGCTTTCTCAGGGGACGTGAAAAAGAAGTCTGTTATTCCTCTCCAGTAACTCCAAGATGAGCTGTAACACGATGAGGTCTAATTTTCTTAACCTGACGAAGCGTAGATCCGATAAGGTACGCATATGAAGCATAATCTATTTATATACTTGAAATGGTAATGGATTAGGGTAAAGCTTAAAAAACACGGGTTCGGGTTTGGGGGGAAATAGGGAAAGTTGGGTTGGGCCTTGGGGGCAGGTCTCGATTTAGTTAATCGATGACACGGTCGGGGCCTTAAAACTCAGCCCGGTATGGTAAAGTCTTGGGTGTGAATATAAAGTGGCTACAAATAAAGTTTGTTCATAATTAAGTGATATTTACAAGGACTGGAGAAAAATATCAAGATCTTAAGAGGGTCCACCAAGTAAGATTTTCCCTTACAAGATATGGTGGATACTAACAATTTTCCAATTTAACCGTTAAGCCAAATTTCACATGATTTTTGGAGGAGCGGTTTTGTAGCTTGTGACTGGTAATAATGTTATGTGTATACAATAGTATGCCTCTGTTGCTAAAACTTGCATCCATCGGCGAAGGGAGTTTTCCTTTTCGATCTTTGCCAAATGTACAATCGAAATTCATCTAAATCTGCCGACAATAATTAAATGTAAAATATAAATTAAAGCTTATATTTTGTATCTACTTTCCTCAAATTCTGTAGGATTTAGGGAGACATTTAAGAGACAGATTTTAGTGGTAAATTGAAAGAAAGAGAGAGGATAGAGGAGGGAGAGTGAGAGTGGATGCTAGAGAGAGAAAGCGATCTTAATAAGAAAAATAAATTATCAGTAAAAGTAGTACTATAATTAGCATGCCGGTCGATAATAATCCGAATTGGGGATGATGGAACATGGACATTGTGGTGATGTGTGTTGCATTATGCTGACATGGCATCACTCTTTCTCTCTCAAGGTGAAAAAAAGTCAACACCAATTTAGGGATGAGATGGATATTGTGGTTGATGTGGGTTCCATTACATATCTTATGTTGGCCGCTTGGGCAACACAAGTGTTAGGACAGATATATATAGATACTGCATGGGATGGGCTTTGTTTTACTATACATTAACTCGTGCGGTGCGCCATTTCTTGTAAAGTCAGATAAGCCTAGACAACCCACTTCCAACATTTCTTCCTCATCCACATCAAATCCATCAATTTCTTTTCCCCTTTCTTCGTATTTTTTTAAGTTTTACTTTAGCTTGTTCGAAAAAGTTAGATGTTCATCCGAATATAGCCCTAGTAGGTAATAGATCATATCAATACTGTAAAAGAGCAATTGTGGGTGATTCTCTCTTTTCCTGCCTCTCCTTAATGGCCACTAAAACATCTTATTTACCTTTAGATTTTTAGTATATTAAAATCTATGGAGTTCAACGATTCATAATAACAAATTATTTTGAGTTAATTTGTCATACAATATTTAATACAAAGTTACTTTAGATAATTCGTCCGATGATGTTCAAAAATCGATTGGGTAGCTCAAGAGTCCTTGAAATCAGGTAAACCCGAAACCTCTTGGTCTAAATTTGAACTAGGCATATCATCACCCTAAAAAACTTCTCAACAAATCAAAATTCTTAATACAAATACAAAGTGGGGCTTTTTTTTAGTTCTTCATTGTAATTCTTTGATAGAGAAAAGGTATTGGGGTTGGACTAGTTTACGAAAGCAGGAACTTTTTCTGTGCATGCATCCAATAATTCAATTGGTTGAGGTCTCCAAATCAATATACTCTTTATATTCAAGATTTAGTGGGTCATCGTGAATTTTATCCGAGAACTGGTGCTTGTCTATCAGTTGATATTTATATATTTGTGGCTATATATTTACCTATATTATAATATTTTATAGTGCTCCAAGAAATTTATTGCTATGATTTATTATACTTTTGATAATTTTATTTACATTAAGCACACCATTTACATGTACATGGTCAGAGTACTCTGTCAAAGAGTACTTTGTCCATGTGGAAGTTGATGGTTCCTGGGTTACAATAAGCTGCATAATAGAAACTTCTAGCAACTGTGAGAAAGTTTTGCTTCGTCTGTGAATCTAAATCGTCTGAGGATTTTGTAAGAACTAATTTCACTAGTTCTTGCATGTCCGATTCTATCTCTGCGGTTGTGATGCCTCTAGTATCAGCCATGCATCCTTGCGCCTGTTCGAAACAAGTAGAGCATTAAAACATTAGAAAAAAAAAATTATTTTTTTGAATTTTTTTGTTGAAAAATGAAAAATGAAGATTAAATGAAAAGAGAAAAGAAAAGGCAAAGAGGAGACAAGAATTACAATTAAGCTTGGGAATTAGTGTCTGGCAGGATTCATGTTATAAATATGTGGTTATGTAATGATTGTATAATTGAAGAAATGAGCCATAAAGATAGATCCAAAATCTCACATGGCAAAAAATGTGATACTGTGCGCGGCTGTTTGACAAAATTCTATCAAGAAAGATAACCGGAAATAGGAAATTTTGTCGCTAACCTTTCGGTGTTGAAATAGACGCAGTTTACTGCAAACTCTTGTCGTGGTCTCCAATAGCTGCTTGTACTTAGGATCTGACAATAATAGCTCCTCAGACGCCCAATGATCACCGCCACCACCGCATAGATTTAATGTGCGGACGAATAGCTCCGCATTCCCTTGTCCGATTTCTCCTCCCTCTTCCCATATCTTGAGCCACTTATGCCACTGCACATTTCATGTCATTAGTCAAGACATTTTTTTGTCACTAAATTAAGACTTAAGTGGCTTTAACATTGGCCACTCTAGAATTTTTTTCGCAATTTTTATTAGCATTAATTATATTTTTTTTTTTTACTTTAAAAATCAATAAAATATTATATATATATATATATTGGAATGATATTTAATAAAAAAAAATTGAAATAATAAAGAATGAAAAGTAAGAATTTGTACGGGCAGGAAGAGATGAATGAAGATTTTGGAGTTTTACCGCATGATTGAGTGGCTGTTGGATGTTTCGGCCGTGTGCCAACAGTGTATCCAATGAGAGCTGGTTTAGCGTTCTGAGCAATGTCCCGACAACACTGCTTCTTGTTTTATTGTACCTGCAATACCTCTTTTCTATTACTCCAGAGGCCAAGCTCATATACTTTTTTTTTTCTTCTTTCATATCCGTTTATATATTTTAATTAAATAATATTGATTTTTATTTAAATATGAATATTAAATTAGATTTATGAGATTAATTAGGGAATTTTACCTCCCTCCATTTGCATACTTGTGGAGAACGCTGCCATGTTCAAATTCATCGACAAGGGCGCGTTTCTGATCTCTCGAAAGTTGCTGTTGCTCGATAGTTTCGACTAAAATTGTTGTTTTGGCCCATGCTAAGCGCGCTCCCGACTTCTCCGGCTCGAATATGCATGCAGCGGATATGTAGTACCCTAGTAAAGCACTTCTTTCACTTAAACCAAATTCATCAAGGCTGCAATTTCTGAACCATCTGCACCAAAAGATTAAATCAAATAAAATAACTTATCTTTTCGAAACATTAAAAAAATCTGGAAGAAAAGAAGAAAAAAATTAATCTTACTTTTGTATGCTTTTCCACTCCCGCTGATGCAAGGCCTGACAATTGTTGTAGTCCAATTTTGCTAGTTCCAGATAGGTGTTATTGTTGACGTATGGCATCCTGAAGATAAATGCTGAAAAATTATAACATGCATATAATTTTATTACTGTAAAGTAAATTTTCATGCTGCATCGGTTAATTAAATTCATTCGAAATACAATAATTCTAACAGTACAAAAATCAAGCAAAAAACAGTACAAGAGTACAATGTACGAGACAAATTAGCAAGAATCTTCATCTAATATTATATTATTTATAAAATTAAATAATCTTAACTACGTAAGCTAAGCATCACCTTCTAGAATATGCATTTTTTCTTTTCTGTCACATTATGCTAATTAATATGGTTAATTTTGAAAGGGAATTTGATGGTGTCAGAAGATATATGTTGTCCTAATCTTTGTGGACAACTATATTGTAATTGTAAATACATGGCCGCCTAAACTTGGCTTTTGTGCTCAAACTCTTTCAATTAACAGCTGTTGCAAATATTAATTGACTTTAATTTTTAATGTTAATAATTAGAAGATAAGAATACGAAATCATGTCACGTGCTATCCATGTGATTCAGATGAAAAGCATAGGCTTGCATGAAAAATTCATTCATTTCTTATAGGTAGGGATTAATATTGACTGCTGTTTCAGAATGTTCCTCGATTGATACAAATCGTCAAACTTAGGACTTTCATAAAATTTGATTTTTTTTAAAAGCTAATTCCAATTCATAATTTGAAAATTGGAATGGAAACACTTATTCCTAACTCTGATTTTTTTTTTTTATTGGAATTGACGAGTATTTAATGTAAATTTTGAATATTATTTTTTCCAATTTTTCGGTGTTAGTCTAGCAAATTAGAATCGAATCGGGAATTGACATGTCATATACATATTTCAATTCCGATCAAAAAATAAATTGGAAAATCCGAATTTGGAACGAAAAAAATCGTTCCAAAATCATAACTTTTTGGATCGAGCTCGTTGGAATTCGAAAACCCCGTTTCGATTTCCACCTCTATTTTGTACAAGTCAAGATTTTGTATTCATGCTTTTGCAAAAACTAGTAAAGTAAAATAATGATGGTAAAACGGTAATTAGTAAAAACAGTTAAGAATTAGTTAAGAGTACCTGTATAAGGTTTTGCCAATCCAAACATCGTCTTCGCCGCCGTACTGTTCTAAATAGAATCTTGTTTCGACTCGAGGTAGACTAGCGTACCATGGCACATCTAGTGCATATCCCACCTGGAATAATAATTATATTATTATTATTATTATTTAATCGTTTAAAATAAATAAATATAATTAATTCAGGGCTCAAAAGGCTACACGATTATCAAATTGAGCCACTTAGACTTGCTCAATTGGATAGGCATCCACTACTAAATTGATCAAAAAATTGCATTAACAAAACGCCAAACTTATGAAGAAAAAAAAATTAATTAATTTGTTTTCTTGTACAATGTCATTAAGCTTGTGGCAAGTGGCATATGTCCTAATCATCAAAATTTTGCCCTTGGAATCATGTTACTTTAGAAATTTGTTTGATTGGAGAGATATGAATGTAATAAAACCTGGTTATTTATATGATATGTGTATGTAATTATGTGTAGATCTATTGCTGAAATTCACAAAATATAAATGATTAGGTGTAACATCTAATTACTCAGCGCCTCAAACTAGAATTTAACTTAAAAAAAAATGGCATTTAATTAATAATATATTACAGTTAACAAAATCCATGAGAAGGGGGCCTAACACAAATAAATAAATAAATACCAACTTAGAACTTTTCATTATATAAAATATAACTCAAACTCCCTCACTTTTAGTTAATGTTTAAGCTTAATTAATTGAAGGGGACAACGAGAAAAACAAAAGATTTTAAAAATAAACCCTTTTGATTAAGCTGGCATTTAGCAAATTAATTATTATTTTAGTATCCTACTTTTCTTTTAATAAGTAAGATAGAATCACATATGACATGTCTGATCTGCTTCCTAAACATGTGTATGTCTCTCTTTTCTAGATAACTTTCATACTACTAATAATATATTTATTCTCACCAAAAGTTTCTTCACTTTTAAAAGTAAACCCACAACATTGCATGGGCCATAAAGAAAATTAAAAAAAAAAATTGAATAAAAAATCTTCACCTTTAATAATCGGAAAAAAAATCACTAGTATAAGTAATCAGGTGTAGCATTTAACTGCCCGATGTATCGGGAGTTATAGTTATCTTAGTGGCAGTGGAATCGCCACATCAGGACATTTATCTACGAGTTAGAAGTGTGGGTTTTATCTACATTATTAAGAAACACACACTATCACACACACACACACACATATATACATATATATGCATAGTAAAGGGTATAATAATATTGAATAAAATAAACTGACCTCGCCGGGAAGGTCTTTGGTAATAATCCACTTATCCAAAAGCTGATTATTAGCTCTTTTTTCTTTCAAAAACTTAGCCGAAAAACTAGCAGCAAATCCAAGAATCTCCTCTCCAGGAAACATCAACTGAGAAGCCCTGTACAAATTGTACATCCCGGTCACAGCCTGCGTTGACTGCCCCGCGAAGCAGAAGAACTCTCCACCCTTCTCAAAATGTTTGAACACCTCTGCTTACCATCATACAAAGTTAGTTAATATGTATCCACTACATGCACGGACCATGAACCATACGGTGCACCTGCATATTATTCTTTTAATATATATAATTAATGAATTAATTACCTGCAGAAATATTGTAGCCATGCAACCTGAGAAGCCTGAAACCCATGGCCGTGTCATCAATATCCTGAACTTCCGAGTTCCTCGCCCAGCATATTCCTTTATCCGTCCAGTATCTGTGCACATATTCGATACATTCCTCGATTTCGTCCCGGAAATACCGAGAAACGCCTAGCCGTTGCAGCTTGTCCACCGCCCAAAGATGCTCGAACAAGTCCACCGGGTACACATTCGGAACTAAAATAATTAATCACAAATTAAATTAATTAGTTATGAAAAATTAATTAATGAATAACAATATTAATTAATTAGGATTAGAATATTTACCTCCACCGTTGAATTTACGAACATAATTAGTCAAATACTGGAGGCAATTAAGATCTTTGGTTTGGTGGAGGGCAAAGGCAGTGGAGGAAGGAGAGAAAAGGAAAGAGCCATCTGAAGACTGTAATTTCAATAGCTTTTGCCACGTCAGATCTGCCATTCCTTCCAAGCTGTGTAGTAATGTTGTCGGCACTTTGTGCATTATGTCCTTCGGTATCCTATTTTATACATACATATATATATCCCCCCACACACACACACCCAATTATTACACACATATATGTAGGCAGAAATAAAAAATTAATTTATACATATATATATGGTTTTTTGGACCTATCTTTATCATATACTTTTATGTATGTGACAGATAAGGTTGCTTTCAAATAGTGTCTTTCTCTTTCATTCATTTGTACATGCTGGAATATTATATATATATATATGTATAATATATATATATATATATATACACACACACACATACCTTGTGAGCTTAAGGTCTCGTTTAGCATAGATTTGTTTTAAACCAGGAGAATCTTGGTATGGGAAGTCTATATCTAACTTTTTGGCTAATTCAATGAGTGATGGTAACGCCACTTCAAACCCAATCGGCATGTGCTCTTCATTTTCTTCCCCTAGCTTCTCTATATTCTCTTTTATAAATATTATCCCTGCCAAATATTTACATTTCAAATCTAATTAATTATTTTTTTATTATATTATATTAATTTAATTAATTAATTAAGTAATTACCTTTATCGGTTTTGTGGGGATGTAAGTTCCAGTATCTCAAAGCAACTACACAAGCTAACGTGTTGATGATTCGGTCGTAGATTGAGAAAGTGTAGTTGGCGCCCCACGACCCGTCGGGGAGTTGGTTTTCCGAAATCCACTCTAGGCTCGACGGGAACTGGGGCGCCGGCGCCGTCGTCATGCCGCCGCCACCGTTGATGTCCTCCACCAACGCCACCCACGCGGTGTCGTACGGAGATACGCTTATCTCTCCGTCGCCCATCGAAGTCAAAATCGATCTCACCGATTCCACCAGTTCCCTTATCTTGTCAGATGATTCGGCCTCCTTCTCCTTCTTTTGATGCAAAAGTAAACCAAAAAAAAAAATCAAAAGTGGGTAATCAAATCAGATTTGACTAATCGAAACAAAAGCAACAAAATAACAAAAATGTTTACTGATTATTAATTTATATTATGAGTAGTGTATATATATATATATATATATATATATATATATATATATATATATATATATATATATATATATATATATGAGCAAAAGAAAGAAAAATGAATTGTGTTCCTACCTTATGATCAGTACTATTTGTTCGTGAGTCATCTTCCACGATCTCGTGCCACTTTATCACCGGCAAACCACCGTTCTGAATCACATCTATGTATTCTGCATTATATTAAATCACCATCCCGTTAATTGTAATTAACAAACACTAATTAATATATTAAAAAAATAATAATATTTTTTTTAGTAATTCAATTTTAATTTCAAGAGGGGGTTTATGTTTTTAATTATGTTATTTTATATATGTCTATGTATGTAGAATGAATGATTACCTTGTGTACGAGGTTTGAAAATAGCATTACAGTAGTGAAGAGGACAACTGGAAGTAAGTAGTTGTCTGGAAAACCCTGCAATGAAAATTGATGTAACTTTACAGCTTGGGAATTTCAGGAATCAATCATATCGATTCCAAATGGTAAGAAAACAAAGCGGCAAACGTCAAAAGAAACATCAAAATGCAACCCAAAGTTTAACGTTCATTCAATCACACTCTTAACCATTTAAAGAAATCAAATTATAATTAAACACGAGAAATTAAAAATAATAAAATGGGGGTCATCAACAAACTGCGCGCGTGTGTGTGAGTGTGTGAGAGAGACTGAGGATTCACCGGCAGGGAAACGAGTTGCTGCGGGCGGCAAAAGAGCGCCGTGAGCGGCGGATGATCGGAGGAGAGAGGCGGAGTGGTGGGAAGTAGTAAAAGACATGTTTATTATAAAATTTGTTGTGGTGGTTGTTGTTTAAGAGAGAGAGAGGAATTGAAAGAGGGGTTTATATAGAAAGAGAGAGAAAGTAGATGAGAGAGAAAGTAGAGAGAGAGAGAGAGAGAGAGAGAGAGAGAGAGAAGGAGAAGACAGAAAGGAATTCCCAAGAGATTCCCGCGAATGGGTGCATGGGATCATCCAAATTCATGAGAATGAGGGCACTCCTGTTCTTTTCTTTCCTTCCACCCCCCTTTTATATAATAATACATTTTTTTATTTTTTATTTTTAAATAATATTTAATTATTCAGGATCCCCACCCCTCTTTTTTGTGTTAACCCCATTAATTAATTAATTAATTAATTATAATTCTATATTTCACTGTAATAGTTTTGTTATGAGATCAGTACTGATTTAATTAGTTTGACTTAATATACAACGGAATGATTTTAATTTAATGGGTGAAATCTTGGTGTTATTATTGTGTTACTATATTATATATTGGAATTGGAAAACTCTCTCTGTATATACTGATATTTCTTCTGAGGTAAGGAAAAATAAAATAAATATTAAATCCAACACTACAAAATAGCAATTTGGATTCCTATGTTACGAATCCTATGTTATAGTACTTGGTATATATATTGTATTTTATTTCACCAATCCGTATACGCAACACGTGTACTATAATGATTTTATTTTTAATTGACAAAGACAACACTTGGTACATTCTGGTTTGGTGCAACAATTTGTAAATAGATGTTAATCGCATTAAATTAATTATTAGTGACGAACTAAATTTAGAAAAATATTAATAAAGAAATGAAAGAGTTCAGATAAAATGTAAAGAAATTACTCAAACAGTAGAATTAAAAGAACGTTATACAGTAGAAAAGATGGTCACTTCACAATTTTGTAGTCACACACGGACGCAGTGATCTTATATGAGAGAATACATGTATTCGATGAAAGATAATGTAAATTAATTAATTTAGGTAATAAATTAAATATTTGTATGTATTTTATTATTTTTTCACATTCTGAAAAATACAGTACTGGTGAGTTGTGCATGGACCGGACCAGTCGCTACAATCAAGATTCAGGTTTATTTGGTTTTGCAACTTTTGGAATTTGGTCCAATTATATCACTGGGTTCTTTTTTCTTTTTCTTTTTCTTTTTTTATAAAAGGACTTTTCAGATTATTTTTTTTAATAGAATTAATTTGGTAATTTACCATATTAATTCTATTAAAAAAAATAATCTTAAAAAGTCCTTTTATAATAAAAGAAAAAGAAAATTTACAAAATTACCTTTTCAGGTAAAGTCTATTTACAAAAAAACCCCTCGTTCTTTTAGAAACTACATTGACCCCCTATAAAAGAGTTGATGTAAGAAATCTACAAATTGCAGGGTGGATTTAATTATGAAAAACAAGGGCGAATTTTGTAAAACAATAATAATTGTTGTATTAAGTAACTGGAAATCAATCTAAGTTGAGAATAATCTCATACATTAAAATCTTAATCAAGGATTAAGGAATCAAAAATATATAACAAACCTTCAAAGAAAATGGGACAGTTACATCAGTTCAAAATCGATGTGGAAGATTGACATAAAGGCTAAATTATGTTTCACTAAATCAGATAATAATAAGAAGTTGGGATATATTTGATAAAACAACAAAAAGATGATTACAAAAAAGATTAGTCTAATCACATAAAACATCATATACAAAACTAACTTAAACCGGTAACAAGTGTTTGTTTCTAACGGAGATTGTGGAATCTTGTGTTTCTTTGATGCTTTTTCAATTAATAACTGGCGTTTTCACCAACCTTGTATCAATTGTAATGCATGGAATCTAATTAAAATATAAACCATGGTCCAATAATTTTGGTTCCACTTGTCTTTTCTTATTTGAATGTTCTAAGCCCAGTGTATGATATGGGCCGGGCTCGTGAATAGAACAAATAAGGCCGGTTTGAATTTATATTAAATAAAAATCAAGAAAGGATCTGAAATGTTAAGTGTCGTTTCAATTTTATTAATACTGTGATTTTGAACTCAATTTTGAAAAAATGCAAAACGCAAAAAGTGTAGTCCTTTGAGATATATTTCTAATACAACTTGAATCGTTTAGATTGGATGTGGGATGGCAAAGTTATGCATTAATGAGTTACGTTTTGAATTTTAAACAACTCAAAACATCAAAGTTGTGGGCAGTGTTCATTGAATCATGCATATTTTTCTCCTCTATCATCCATTTTTGGTGACTCAAGTTGGATTCAAAAGTTAACTCAACAAACTACAAATTCCGTGTTTTGAATTTTGCTACATTCAAACTAAAAAATTATCAAAATCATGTTTAAAGTCAAAACAGTATGTCTAAAACTGAAACGATATTTATCACGCCCGTAAGGAAATTTGTTTTGACATGAGGAAACAAAGAATATACACAAAATGATTTAATTTTTGTTTACTTTTTTTTTACGAGAGATCTCGATTTCTTCGCCATCTTCTTATTTCCTTTTCTCTGGCCCGTTCTCGTTGTTTGGTATGTATGATCCATTAATCTTAAAATATAATTGAATGTAAAACATGCAATATCTAATTATAAATAAATTGTCTCAAATGAAAAATTAAACCTATAATTTTAATAATTAAAATCCAAATAACCTTTTCTAAATCTAACGGGCTAAGCTACGGTCGTCTCTAAATTTAAAAACATTACAATTTTGTTAGCCCAATTAATTGGCCCAAAATCCAATAAACTACCTGAATTGGGCCACTTAATTTTGATAGGCCCAATAAATATCACGCGCTCAGCACGTGACACCCTCTCCGAATCGCTAAACTCCAACAAACCACCTTAAATAAAAAAATCACAGTAAAAGCATGGTTTCCTTCCGCTTCCCGTTCTTGTTTTCTCAGCCACCAAGACCGCCCCTTTCCGCCACCGCCGATGTCTCCTCGCGATCCTTCTCCGCCACCACCACCGCCGCATTATCAGTAGCCGCCGCATTATCAGTCGCCGGAGCCGGCGTTGCTCTCTCCCAGAACTCCGACAACCCATTTCTTCAATGGGCATTGAATTTATTAGCGTCCAACAGAAATGGCTTCAATCCGATGTGGGGTTCACTTTCTCTCACCGCAAATTCGTCGCCGGTCACCGAATCGAGGACTGGAACGTCATTTCCAGCTGTCCTGAAAGATTCTCAGCGCCTTCTCGGAATTGGATTGCGCAGAAAAGCTGTTCTAGGGTTGAAAAACATCGATGTTTACGCTTACGGAAACCCTTCGTATTTTATTTTGATTTCCCCCTTTTCATTTCAGTTGATATATACATAGCGACCAAATTGGCCATGAAATTGAACTCTGGGCATTTTCCCTTTTGATTTCGGATTTGATTAAAATAGGTGTATACGCTGATGATTCCGATGTGAAAAAGTTTCTAAGTGAGAAAAAGGGAGATCTTTCCGATGATCTAATGGAGAGTGATGTCAGCATGACTATTAGGCTGCAAATAGTTTATGGAAGGTTGAGCATTCGTTCCGTGAGGAGCGCTTTTCAAGAATCGGTCGGTAGCCGATTGAACAAGTTTGGCGGAGGATCGGATAACAAAGAATTGCTACAAAGGTAACCAAATATCTTTTCGTTTATATCGCAAGTATACTAAAATGCACTAAATTAGGAATGATAGTAGCCCGTGGTCGTGGTGTAGCAATTCAATAGTATAAAATCTCGAGCTCGGTGATTTTGTAGTGTCTGTCGATTTTCTTATAATTTGATGTGCAGGTTTACCTCTCAATTTAAAGATGAATATAAAATACCAAAGGGATCCATCATCGATCTGTGTAGAGAGCGAGGCTATGTTCTTCGCACAATGAGTAAGATTGTCGTCGCTACTTCATATTTATATTTGAAACGAACTTTGTTTTAGTTAAATATGAGCATGGTGCATAATGCATATAATGCTGCAAAATTACGATAAATTAGATATAAACGCAACTTTTTTACATTTTGCACGTATGTATGTATGTAGTTGATGGAGAAGAAGTGGGAAGTATACAGAGCAAGGTCTTGTGTCGGTCAATACTCGATCTATACATAGGTAACGAGTCTTTTGATTCTAAAGCCAAAGAAGATGTCGAGCTCAACTTGGCTTCCCTATTAGGGAAATAACTTCGTTGGATGTCAAACTCTGCTTGAATCCAAAATTCAGAAATTTCGTAATATTTCGACCCTTGATTTTCGCGTTTTTCGGTTGTTTGTATTTTGTTGGGAAAAAAACATTAATGTGAAGAACACTGAAGATTTGGTTTCTAGGTAAAGTATTGCTACCAAATTAGATGAGATCACATAAAATTAATTTTGTGTAGTTGGATGAGTAGTCAAGCCCATTGACTATTTTGTATGATGATATAAATAAAAGATGGATAAAATAAATAATATAAAGAAAATCGTTGTGGGTTCCAACATTTTCAGAGGAATTCAAGTCAAAAAAATTGACCTGCTCCACCACACGAAATTAATTATTTTTCATTCAAAAAAGTCAAACCTTTTTTTAAATAATAATAATAATAATAATAATAATAATCAAATAAAGAGCTGATAATAAAAAATAATATTAATCAACAAACTTTCATAAGCTGCTTTTTCTTTAACTGAAAAAAGGTATTCAACTTCCACCCACCATACTCTAAAGCATATATGAAAGAATGGAATTGTATATGATGATGATGATTATAACAGCAGATTAGTTCTATACATACAACACAAAAATGAGTGCCGCATTCATTCAAACCAATCACAGATTAGTACTCAAACTCATAAATAACTATTTCCAAAATTGCAATTTAATCCTTTTTCAATACTTGAGCTCGGAGAGTTGGTTCGGGCATGTGCCTAGAATCGGAGTCACGTTCCTTCTACAAGCAGGGGACAATTTCTGGGCAGGCCCGTTGGGAGGAACCTCTGTTTCTTGGGTTGATTTGCTCACTGTACTCATACTTCTTTGGCTGCTCCCCCCTGTATTTGTATTTTTCGACACCGATGAATTTGCTGAAGGTGATACCGGATTATGACTACTTTGGGAACTTTTCAGTTGAGGAATGTTCGAAAGGGCTGTATTATTGTGAGAGTAGTTCTCCCATTTGGATGCAAAGTTTGGATTCCCGGTTTGAGTAGAAGATGTGAAAACAGGGTTCATCGCCTTAACCTGATACGCTGACGCTCCTCCTCCTGCAAGCTGCTGCTGCATTTGATGCTGTTGAGACTTTGGCATTGTCGAGCGAGCTGATATACTGTCACTGCAATCTGACTTTGAGAAGTTGAAAGGTTGACCGCTGCCGCCATGGATTTGATTTGCTCCTTCACTTGCCTGGAAATTCTTCTGCTGCTGCTGTTGTTGTTGTTGTTGTTGTTGTTGTGCCATTTGATACATCATAGCAGAGTTGTGCATCATGGATGAGAAGCTCAGCGCAGCAGTTGTTGAAGCATTCGATCCGAAAGAGAGAGCAAAAGCTTGAGGGACCATATTCATTACACCCTTAGAGCCATGCTGACTAGGATCGCCGTGCTGCTTATTATTGGCAGGTGGCATCACTCCAAAGTTCATTGCTTGGACAGGAAATGCGTACGTCTGCCCGTTATTATTACATTCCACAGACTGAGAAACCAAACCGTCAGGAACCGATGAGCCGCCACTTTTCCTGCTAGTTAGCTTATCTGGCTGTGATGAGTAAGGAAATTTGTCGTCACTAGTTTTCGTACTGGTGTGCTGATGATTACCCTTGGGTTGTTTGTGAGATGACGAGCCACCAAATATCGAAGCTGATTGGACTGGAGCATGAGGAAGGGATAATGGCGGCTGCTGCTGATTTTGAGTGACATTAAACGCTGGCGACGAATATAGAGAGGAGTTAAAGAAGGGCATATTGGGGTGTACTCCTCTGAAAGAAGGCAAATTTGGGAAACTATTGTTCTGTAACATTGCCATGTATGGAGAAGCTTCCATGGATGGAAATGTTGGTTGATTAAAGCTCGCAGAACCTGGTGCCCCATGCAAGGGCAAGTTAACTGAAAGCCTCCCAGCTGAATTAGAGGGCAGCGATTCGTTGCCAACTGCTGAAGCGGGTACGGAAGAATTAGCTGCTGATGTCATCGTTGTTTGGCGTTGACCGTTCGGAAAGATTAAACCAGAGCCATGCTGCAATCATCATAATAAATAAATAAACAGGGGTTTTAACTTCGAATCGAGCGTGACGCAGTCACGGTTTCAATAACTACAGGATAAAGACCGAAAGAACTTACCGAAAAGTTATTAGCTTGTTGGAAAATAGACTTGCCATTTGCTGTGGCATTGAAAGCAGCTGCAGCATCAGAGATTTTATCTATTCTACTTCCATCTGAAATGGTGGTAGCAAAATTCTGTACTCCTTGAAAGTCTCCGTGAACGAGCTTTTGTCTTGACTTGGATTTTAGGTTCGATGGTTTGGTTCCATATAAAGTAGGAGGACCAATTGGCCCAGACGATAGAGATTTTTTGATGAGTTGCTGGTGATACTGAATGTTGTTGGCAACGTTTTGATGAGTTAAACATCTCTTCAGTCGAGGTTGTGAAAAATTAAATTGAGGGGGCTGCAAATTTTGAGACAATCAATTTAGTTAGTTATAAACTGAACCAAATAAGAAACATTGCTCCGACAAAACCAAAGGTGTACCTGCATTGTCATCGAAGATCTGGCACTTCCATCTATTGGCAAAACTGCTTGCATGGTGGGAGGCATATATCTGCATACGAAACAACTTGTTTAGCAATGGGCAGGCATTTGTTAAACAGAAGAATAAACCGAGACTTTAGTATACACACCCTGGACGAGGAAGAACACTAGGCCAGCTATTCATACCAAAAGGGAAAGACAACAAGGGAGTTGCATCTGCAAAAATAACACGTCAGTCATACAATTTAGCTGAAAAAAATATCATGATCGCTTCGATTTTGGGATCAAGTAGATTGGTATGAGGATTTTACATTGACTTTTCTGATCGTTACGAATCTGCTGCTGTTGGGTAGTACTGTCACCGACTCTTGGGATATCATGCCTACGCTTGTCCAGGTCAAGGTTTGGCAATCTATTATTACTAATTACTCTAGTAGTTTCTTCCGACATTTGAGTTGCAACTGCCAAGGGACAATCCTTTGAAATAGCGTCACTCTTCTGCAAAAGAATTACACGAAAAAACAGTTTCAGACTAACTGAACAAATAAAAACCCCAATTAGAAAATAAATACACATGAAAAGATCAGCATGCCTTTTGAACATCCGGGGTAATTTCTTTAGGATCAATAGGCATATCAACCAAGAAATCTCTCTCCGAGGATGATGGCAAAGGTGGAGGAGCCTGTCAAAAGAACACAATATTCAGAATATTTATTTAATAGAAAAAAGAAATCATAAGCCCAACTAAAGGAACAACTCTTATATGGCACACATACCATCAAATCAATCTCTGGCTTCGCTATCTTCTTCGCCGCAACCCGGATTGTTGCCTGATCTCTGTAGCGGCACCATAGATGGACATTGTTATACAGATGGGTTCATGAGAAAGAAAGGAAAATTAAAAGGGGAAAAAAGAAGAGAGAGAAAATTTGGTATACTCACGCTTTTGTCACTGTCGGATCCTGAATATCACAAGCATTTACTGTAACACATGATGGCGATTCGGTTTCTTTTGGAGACCCCACTTTTCCTTTATTCACAAATCCATCTTCTCCACCCACTACTAATTCTTGAGCTGGGTCATCATCGTCGGCAAATTTCTCTTTATCAATTCTTCTCTCTTTCTTCAATTCTTTCACTGAGTCGGCCAAAGTTGTTTCACCACCCACTTTTATTGATTGCTCGTTTTGAACTATAAAGGCATTATTCTCATCTTTACCACCCGCAGCTTTTAACCTCTTTAAATCTGTAATCCCCACCAAATTCACATTTATGAAGAAAAATACGAGCAACAATTATGCACTGACTCCCGAATAAACAGATCACGAGAAATAAAACTTACCGGCATCAGCTGCTGCTGTGTCAGCGCTTTCTCTATCAACCTTCGGCGGAGATTGGGACTGCGACTGAGATTGTTTCATCAGATCGAACAAAGCTTCAGCAACTTCGATCTCGATTTCATCTTGAATAACTGATGAAGGTTTGGAATTAGATGCGTCACTCAGAACCTTCGTTCTCGGCTCTGCAGATATCTGGGGAGTCGCAACACATCTCTGTTAATATTTGGAAAATGAAAATAAATTGTACCAAAAATTAAATCCATAAACAAGTGCTCACCATCTTCTTCGTTGAAGCACCGGAAAATGATGGCGAACCACTGCCGGAACCAGTCAGACCCACTATAGCCGGAGATGATGAAAATCTCCGGCGGTTCAAGTCATCACCTCCGACGCCGCCTGAATTGCAGTAATCTTGCAACCTCTTTGCAGAACCTATAAAAAATAGATATATAAAAAAAAAAAAAAAACATTAAACAAAAAAAGTAACAGCAAATTAAACTCAACAAATAGACCAAATATTCCTGACTTCTGAAAACATACCAGAGCGAGCTCTCCGGGGTACAGGAACACCGAGCATTTCATCGCCGGCGGCTCTGACCACCGGCGACGACCGGAGAGTACGGAGGCCCGAACGGCTATTAGACAGAGAAGAAGACGTTGGCGACAGTTGACTCGTCCGATTTCGCTGATGAATTCTCGTCTCCTCTTCCTCTGCACAGTATTCTTCATCACTCGAGTCCGTACTCTCGTTCTCTCTATAACTTTCACCACCACCGCCACCGCCACCGCCACCACTCCTCTGCAGCGCACCGTGCCTATCAACTCTCCTTCTTTTCGCAAACTCTCGATCCCGGACTTTCTTCTCGAACTGCTCTCGATCTCTTAACCTCAACGTTTCCTGCAATTCCACCTGTCTATCCATGTCTGTGAAAAATAAAAAAAATCGATTAGAAAGCACTTATCAAACAATAATCCAATCCATATATATCTATAAAAAAATTCTAACCAGTTGAATCTCTCAGATTGAGAGCAGTAATTTTTGGCCGTCTTCTCGGCAAACCATTAACGGTAGAAATGGTAGCTTTCCGCAAATCTCTGTTTCTCTCCATCAGCACTGTAAATCTCCAATCGTCAATCACAGAACTCGCCGGATTCCGACCATTTCCGACGACGGAAAACACCGGAACAAACGAAAATGAAATCCGAAAAACTGCAAGCAAGCTCTATGATTCACCTAAACAAATCGGAAACTTGTTGAAAATCTCTCTCTGTTTCTCCTTTTTTTGCTTTGTTGTGTGCTCTCTCTCTCTCTCCTCACTTTTTTTATTTTCTCTCTCTTCTCTCTCTCTCTCTATCTTTCTCTGTGGTCTCATCTAATCTGTAGTTTGTTGTTTATAAGTGTCACGCGAAACCTACTCCAGAGCCGAGATGGACGGCACCGATATCTCTCTTGCCCTCGAGACGTCATATTCACCGCAAGATCTGGTCTACATCCAAGGGTCACGATTAGCCGGTGCCAACATGGCACAACTGTCACTTTCCCGATTATAATAACCTGCTTTGGGCCCTCTTTCCGCCACGTCCCTCATTTATTTCCTATTTATTTCTTTTTTCCTCTTTTTTTCCTGTGGATTTTTTTATTTATTAATTACTCTACAAATTAGCTTCCTCGATTATTTCAGATTGTTTATGATAACAGTAACTATTAGTACCTACCTTAATTAAATAAAATATATGCACAATCTAATGTCGATTTAATTTCCTTATTCAGAATTTATGCTACCATATTCAATATTTCATATCTCCTATTGTGAATTATTTCGAAAAATATTTTTGGGATTCAATTAAATTCCCTAAATTGAATTATATTACCTATATTGCAAAAGTTGTCATTCAGATTGTATTAATTCAATTCAAGACACCTGTTAAAAGTGTTAATTTGCTCGAAATACGTATCTGATACTTAAAATGCAAAAAGATTTTTCATAATTACTATATGTTAATTATTTTTTTAGGAATATTAAAGTATGTTATTGATAATAATAGTTGCGTAAAAGGACTTGATATGATGATTTTTTTCCTTAGGGACTTGGGAGAAAATTCACCTAATTCGAAGAAAAAAAGGAATTTGCAATACAGATAAAGTAGAATTGATTTTATTATTATAGTTGGATTCTGTAATTAAATTATATATGTCGTATAAGAACAAATTCAATTAGATCTCCCACTCTATTTTAGAAGTTTTGCAGCTGCTAATTTAATTTTGATAATCTACATCTAGTGCAGTAAACCCACACGCGCTAGTCGGAGCGTCGGCCAGAAACATGGTTCACTAGCTACTGCCACTTTTAGTTGCCGTTCCGATTCCCTGCTCTGCGAAAAAACTGAATAATAAAAGGACGAAAATATCTTACCTGCGCGTACGTTATTGCCTAATTGGCAAAATTAAAAATAATAATAATTAAAATAAATAAACGACTATAACAGCTCACGTGGGATTCAGTAAGACGAAAAGACCGGTTCGTACCTTCTGCTGCTCCGCTTGTACCACAACCCGTTTTTTTCTCGGCGGGTCCCACCTCCTCGAATAAAGTACTTCCGACGTGGCAGCAGGACGACAATGTGGGTCCTACTAGAGCTGATGTTGCGCTATTTTTAATAGCTCCGCTAGGAAGAGCGAGATTATCGCCGATGGTGCTGCCGAATCCGACGGTTGAGATTTTTCTCCGATAGGAGTCTCCGGAGCCGGAGTCGTTTCCCGGTCAATCCACCGCGGCAGCTGTAATGAAGCTTGATATAAAAATATATATATTTGATATTTCCAAATCCAATAGTCAGTTATTTGTCTTGAAAATATGTATACGGTTTACTTATTAGTACTAAATAAATATAAGTATTCTGATAAAATCAAAAAATAATTGATCACATAATGGAATTAAAATCCACCGTGTCAAATTTAAGACCAGAAATTACTATAATAATTAATAATAATCACGCCAGGTATTCAATTTTTATTGAAAGCCCCACTCCAGAATAAGTGGGTCGCCTTGGATCTTGTTAGCTGCACGGCCCACCCCACTTCGACATGTTTCTTTTATTATTTTAACTTACTTATAATAATATACATTATTATTACTATTTTGTAAAATTAAAGCTTATTAATATTTACTGAGAATTAAAATAAAAGTTAATTCTTATCTCATGTCATAAAGATTTATTTTTGCATGTATTTATTTATTTATTTTTTCTTGATTTTTTATCTAAACCGCATGAAGTATAATCAAATTTAACATCAAACACAACCTTGTGCTTCACAATATATATAAACAGCATCTTTGTTAGTTTATTTTATTAACGTAGTGGACGCCACATGACAACCAATTATATAAGATGATGAGAAAATAAATTATATATATTATTTGGTCGTAGAAAAAGGGAAAAAAATAAATATATTATAATATACGACTAAGTTATTGGGTGATCTAGATTTTGTCCTTACAATGTTGATTTATGTATAAGAACATAGTACAATCTTACTAATTATAATAAGGGTCCATTTGATATACACCCCTCATATGGAAAATATATAGGCATAGGTCCACCCCTAAAAATCTTTCTTTGAGATACACCCCTGGAGAGGCAAAAGTACTATTGTACCCTTATTTGCAATTTTCGCCCAACTGCATTCAGTATTTTCACCAACTGCATTTATCATTTTGAACCTGCATTTAATATTTTTGTACTGCATATATCATAATTTTTAATTTAATATTTTTTTATTCATGTACATATATTGTAACTTTTTTTTATTAGTAGTATATTTTTTTATAAAATATATTTTTTTTAATATTTCAATTTTTTTAATATTTCAATTTTTTTAATATTTCGATTTTTTCAATATTTCAATTTTTTTAATTTTTTTAATTTTTTTTTAATTTTTTTAATTTTTTTTTATTAATTCAAATTTTAGTAAAATTCCTGAACTGAAAGTATAGTTATATATAGTCATGTATTCTCTTTTTACCCCAAAATTCATCTACACTAATAAATAAAATTCACAATTTAGATCTTGATATTATAAATCAACTAACAAACAAAAAATAAAAAAAATACAATCACATGCATATATTCTTCAAACATGAACACATTAAAAAACCTATAACATACATATAACTATATGTTACTACAGATGACTATAGTTATCTACAATTATCTATATTAATATATAGTGACATAAAGTCTAGACTACTGTAGCATGAATCCAACTTCATTAGGCACTTCATCGCATCTTATTCCCTGCATATCATAAAAGCATAATAAAAGCAAAACCTGCGACAAAAAAATACGAGTTAAAGAGCCAAATGGAACATGCGAGTTAGATTGTATGAAAAATACAAAAAAACATAATTTTTTTTTGTTGATAAATTTACTTAACTGAAATCGAATACAAATGACTATAGTATACTACAAATTCTATAGTCATGTATAGTAATATGTAGCCATGACTATATATGACTACATATGACTGTAATATATGACTATAATATATGACTATATATGACTACATATGACTGTAATATATGACTATATATGACTGTAATATATGACTATATATGACTATATATGACTACATATGACTGTAATATATGACTATATATGACTGTAATATATGACTACATATGACTACATATGACTGTATATGACTAAATATAATTGTATATTCACCTGACTCAAATCACCCATTTAAACATTTACATTATAAATCAACTCATAACCAATAAAATAAAAGTTACAGATTAGCTACCTTAGCCAAAAAGCTACAAATCTCCCAATCATTGCCCCAAAAACAAAAAACCCCCAAAAAATTCAAACTCAATGCCACTAATTGTTACGAAATAAAAAATATTTATGACAAAAATCATTTATAACAAAAATAAACAACATAAGAATCAAAACGAAATAAAAAATCAAATTAATCCAAAGAAAAATATTTTAATATTAATTATTCACAGATCTTAAAAAATAGTAGATCTAATTTTAAAAATAATAGTAGATCTAATTATGAGACAGCTAATTAATTAAATCAAAATGATAATAATGTGAGGATCTGATCTGAGGAGAATAATGAATAATACAGAAGAAGAAAGTGACCTGTGTTGATCTTTGTGGTTGGATTTGAGAGTGTATTTGCGGAGCGGCGGCAACGCTGCGAGGTAGGGGAGTGGCGACGGCGGCGTTGCGAGGTAGCGGAGCGGCAACAACGGCGCAACGAGGTGGGGGAGCAGCGGCGGCGGTACAACGAGGTGGGGGAGCAGCGGCGGCGGCGCAACGAGGGGAGGGAACAGCGGCGGCGACGGTGGACTGTGGGTAGAGCGAGAGTTAGAGAGAGATGAAGAGAGAGAGAGAGAGAGAAAGGGAGAAAGAGAGAGAGGGGGGATAAATGTCGGCTGATAGATGTGGGAGTGGGAGTGGGAGAAAAGGCTAGGGTGTTAGGGTTTGAATAAAATTAAAAGGGTAAAATAGGTATTTTAATTTATCTAGGGGGGTCTATCAAATTAAGATTAAAATTTGGGTTTTTGACTAGGAAAGAAAAGTCAATAGGACTTATCCATATATATTTTCAAAACTAGGGGGTTATCCCTCATTTCCCCTTATAATAATCTCCCACGTCGTAAAACAATTGTTTATAAATTTCCAAACTTTCTAATTTTAAATTGAGTTACAGAATGTAGAGTTATAAATTGAAGAATTGGACCTTATTGAATATTTAATAAATCCAATAATTTCTCGAACCCCGACTGTGACGAAAATGGCACCTATGTTGACTTAATACGAGATCATTTATTCAACTTCCTACGGTACAAATCATCAGATATAATTGAGAAATACAATCATGTCAAAAAACAACTTTATCCTTGGCAAGAAAATGTACAGTTAACGAGGAACAATCGAGCAAGTTGAAGCACCATACGACATCGTATTTCCCCAAAGTGCATTTCCTATGTACCACATACACATGTACTGGTTCTTAAACTTGTCATAAGCAAAAAAAAAAAAAGGAAGAAGCATAAGCATAGGGGAAAAGAGCTTCTCAAAATATCTCTAGTGCTGGGAATTCACATCTCTACACCTTTGCATAAATCCTTCATACTGTCAGCAACTCCTGCAAAAAAAATTAAAATAAAATTGTATCCTTAAATTAATGTCCCAGATTGAATATAATTTATCAATATAATGAAAACGACGATGAAAAGGCAAGGAAGCTGAACCTTCTCTTTCTGTTTGAGGATTGTATCGATCTTCTTCATGTACTCATCAGTCACTTTCTGTAAACAAACCCAATATCCAATTATCACCAATACACAAACAGAAAATGAAAATAAAATAAAGACAATAATCAAGAACCTAATCTCGACACAGAAAATAAAAGTCCAGAGAGAAATTTGCTAGAGTTTCGTACTTCTGTCTGTTTATTTTATGAAAATGAACTAATTTAGGTACCTGCAAGTCAGCAGAGAGGTCCTTGACATTATCTTCAGAAAGCTTCTTCTCCTGCAAAATACGTTTGTTGCTTATTATTACAATAAACCTATGACGTGGGCCGTGGGCCGTGGGGTGGGGTGGGGTGGGGGGTGCTATATTAGGCAGACCTTCTGAAGTTGTCGTAGGATTTGATGGCGTCTCTTCTTATATTCCTTATAGCAACCTAAACATTAAGAGCAACTTAAGAACAAGGCTGAACCAACAATTGCGTAATGTGGTTCGTTCAGAATCTGTAGCAAAAAGGAAGTGTTTGTTACCTTGCCTTCTTCAGACTGCTTAGCCACAACCTTTATTAACTCCTGCAAACCACAAAATAACCAAAATTTTAAAAATTAAAAACAGAGCATCTTGTGTTGCATAATGTATATATATATATATATATATATATATATATATATATATATATATATATATATATATATATATATATATTCGGGCAATATTTTGAGAAACAATACAAATTCAATTATAAACCATTCGCTTAGCTACAAAATACAATACCTTCCTCCTGTCAGATGTCAGTTGAGGAAGGGTCAATCGAATAACATCTCCATCGTTATTTGGAGTCAGACCAAGATCGGGAGAGGCCACAATTGCTTTCTCTATAGCCTTCAAGCTGTGTTAAAAAAATAAAAAATAAAAAAGACACTCCAAATGTTATTGGATCGCACAAATAATAGAACATTTAACTCCAGTTGAAGGAAACAATAACTGCATGCAACCCTTCAATTTGTTCCTATACGACCAACATAGCATGGATGCGCTGACTATCAGTAACCAAAAGTGTATGGGAGGGGCAAAATCGTACATTTCATTGTCACCACATTTTATAACCTAATCGGAAAAAAAAAAAAACTTGAATGCTAAAACTAGATGTTTGTACTAGAAATATACACCTGGATTTGTCATAGGGCTGCACCAAGAGGGAACTTGAATCGGGAGTGCTTATCTGAGCTATACTCTTCAACGGGACTGGTGTTCCATAGTAGTCCACCTAATAAAGTCCCGTGAAGGAAATTCAAAACGGTATTGGTGAATAAATTAAGTTATCCAAGAAATTAAATGAAAACGAAATAGAAAGACCTTAACACAATGTTGATGAAAGTAAGAAATGACGAAAATTGAAAAATTCAAGAATACACAATAACGATATGGAAAACGGAAAACGGAAAACGAAAAAGATATCCCGTAAAATAACGATACGGAAAACGGAAAACGCAAAAGTCTAATCGCTTGGGCGAGTTAGATAGTAAGATGTATAATACCTCGACTTTGTCTAGTATGGATGGGTTTGATCTTCCGGTTCTGATAGAATTGAAACTGGTTTTCACATTGTCAATAGTCTTTTCCATCTTTTCTTTCTGAAGAACAATTAATGAATTAATGAAAATTAGTACTTGTAGGTCGTTTGTGAGGTTTCTAGATGCAGCTAACTAAGAAATTAATCGGTAAATAATTAAAATTCGTACAACAGCTTTTTCAATCATTGATTTCTCCGCTTCAATTTCTTCAATAGTTGCGCATTTCAACACTCCGATTCTGATATATTAAACGAGTTCATCAGTAACACACTACTAACAAAAAAAAAAAAAAAAAAAAAAACCATAAAACAATTATAGCAGACAAATATTTTAAGAACCTTATAAACTTGCCTCTTCTTCCATGTCTGCTTAACAACGAAGGGCTTCCCGGAAAACCCTCTCGCCGCCGACACCTGAAGCTTGACGTAATTCGCCGACGCACTCCAACAACCCACATTTCCAAAATCTGCAGTAAAGCCAAAACTCAAACACGCACTCGTATGATAAATAATTAATAGCCAGAGAGACGAGAGACGAAAATGGAGTTTCTAGGAAAACCTGGGACTGAGAGACGGTTCTTGGGAAGATTAGACGCGTAGCAAACGGTGCGTACGTGAGATGCAGGCGAGAATGTTGTCGCCATAGGGATGACACTCTATGTGTTCGATGAAATGCCTCAGTTGAATTCTCTGACTTTCTTTCTATCTAGTTGAGGACGAGGAATTGTGGATAAGAGCGATCCTTTTGCACTGGGACATTCACCCACCAAATACGCTAATTCTTTGTGTAAAGATTTTTGCCCTTCACGGCCCAAATACAAAATTGAATTTCCTATTTTACCCCTCGAGTTTGTAAATAAATTTGGATTTCCTATTTTAAGCGGGTAAAATTAAGGTTACCAATGAGGTAATGTCAAATTACGAGAAACCTCCTATTTTTTTGTTAATTCCAACCCCTCTCAACTACGAATCGTCTCACGGTGTCAAATTTAGCGGAATCTTTTAGATTATATGTGGAACATTCTTTAGTTTGTACCCGTTTTACACCCTTCCAACTCCCTATTTTGAAATAAGATAATCATAAAATGCATCTTTCGCCCTGTAAAATATCAGATTGTGGTTCATCTAAAACTTTATTTTAGCATAAAATGGGTACAAACTAGAAAATATCTCACAAAATCAATACATTCCGTTAAATTTGACATCGTAAGAGTGGACGTGCAAGATAATTTATAGTTGATATATGGTTGTAATTACCTAAAAAAAGTTTTTTTCGTAATTTGATATTGTCTCGAGAGGGTCACCGTAATTTAACCTTAATATTTACAAGTAAAATTAAGTTTCCCATTATACCCACAAGACTCTGAGAGACTCTAAGTAAGTACTATAATTTATTTGGAATTAGGCATGTTCATTTAGTAAAATGGTGACCTAAAATCCATTACTCCAAAATTTAATATCGTCGCGGAACTGAACTATACAATTTGATTTATTAGTCACCAAAATATGAAAAAAAAATTGAAAATGGTTGATTCGATCTAATGAATATACACGTGTGTGTGAATTTCTTAATAAGAAACAAATTTGTTTGTTCATATTTGCATACCCTTATATCTTAATCTCACACAAATTCAATGGCTAATCACGTGTTATCACAGTAAGACTATTTCCCCTCCTCTTTTTTTTTTCAAATGAAGCCAAAGCAAATAGAGGTACAGTCACGTTTACATGGTAAAAATAACATGCCAAATCCCACTCACACTCATGCATAAATTGTGACTCTTTTCACTGCACAAAAATTCTTTCTGCCTTGTTGCACCAAATAACACGTACTACCCCCTCTATATAATGTGCATTTCAACAACATTTTTACTTAACAAATTCAATCATGGGTGGGGTGTTATTGTGGCTATTGTTAATCATGATTTCTATTTCTGGATTTTGCAAAGGTGCTGTGTACAAAGTCGGTGATTACGCGGGGTGGACTATTGTCGACAACATGGATTACAACAAATGGGCTTCTTCCAAGACCTTTCGCGTCGGCGACACGCTTAGTAAGTCTATTTCTTATTTGCAAAAACGTAAAATAAATTAATAAATGTGCCCTTTTTTTATTTTCGTCGAAATTTTATGATTATTTTTTTTTTATTACGTGTAGTTTTCGAGTACGATAATCTGTTCCACAATGTGTTGGAAGTGACCCGATCGGAGTTCCACTCGTGCGACGCAGAATCTCCAATCGCCACATACGACAGCGGGAATGACTCGGTGGTGATACGTAGCCCCGGACACTATTACTACATATGTGGTTTAGAGGGCCACTGCCAGGCTGGACAGAAGGTTGATATAAGGGTGCCCAAGTCTAATGAGCCCGCCAAAGGCCCAATTCAAAGCCCGATTCAAGTAACTGGTGGTGCTACCGCTCCAAAGGGCTCTCCTATTGGTACAATGGCACCAGGCCCATCTCACAGTGGTGGAGAGTCTCTAAACAATTGGCTGTTATCTTACAATCTTGGGGTTTTGCTTAGTCTTGTTTTGATTTTCTATTAACATTGGGTTACTTTTATTAGGTTTATCGATCGGCTTATGTATTTTTTGTTCCTGTAATTCGGTTGCTATTTTTATGTATTTTTATTTAACTAGAAACCCGTGGAGGGTAATTTGGTAATTTTCTTTTAGTATATTATGACGATATGAGTATTCGTTTTCTAGCATGAAACAAATTCCTACAGCAGTGTACAATTTTTCGAATATCGTGTTTAAGTTAATTTGTTAGGCTGTTTTCTTCTCTTGAACGAGAAAATTAGTTATGAAAAACCTGCAGTTATGTTTAATTAATTTATCGAAAAATTGTATACCGGACATTGGTTTCCAATCGAATAATCGTAAAAACCAGTATAATATTATTCCAAATTACAAAATATTGAAAAATCAAATGAAGCTTAAGTGACGTGAGGCATCGAAATCGAATTGACTAGGAAAATGGACATAGTAACTGCATAATGAGTTGGAGTTATTCTATACCAAATGTGTGATATAACAACGTTTGTGCTGTCGCATTTTTTTAGCTGGTGGAGGTGTATGCTTGTTATTAATGTGATTGAAATATAGTGAAATTGCATTTCACCAAATTTGCTTGACTTCTTCTTCTTTCATATCTGTTACTGTGAAACTCATTTGCATTTCACCAAATTTGCACCGTCTTTGAAGAAATTAAATTAAGATGATACATAAATTTGTCAACAATCATTTTAAGTTCAGTATTGTACGTTTTTAATCGTCTCTAATTTCCACCAATTTGTTGCCCGAACCAATTGTTTTTACAATTTTGGAAAACCAATAAAAGAATATTGGGGAAAGAACATTTTTTTTTCCTACGCTCCCACACGTGCACCGCATGCCCAGATGAAGCCACTATACACAATAATGTGTAGGATTTTGTCGATAATTCACTCAAGTTGTTCACCGGAAAAGCATCAGAAAAAACGTTTTTTTGCAGATGGTATGGTAGTAAGTAAAAAATTGAATAAATATAAAAAATCAAGTACACTAGTATCCAATTTCCCCTGTAAAACTGAAAATTAAATCATCCGTCAATCTCACACGGATGGTTTAACATGTTATTAGATTCGATCTCAAATCATTTGCCACCGTTTTATAGGTAAAAATGTATTCAGTAGCCTAGTATCGTTTAATTTAATCTCTCGTATAATTCGAGACAAATATAAATTATTTTTTTATCCAATGTATTTCGAGTGGCCGGAAGAACCAATTCATCTCTAGATACTACTCTCTCTATATATATACACGTATACATACGGTGATACACACACCAACTCATCCACTCAATTCTTAATACCGGCCCCCATACCACACTCATCATCACTCTCTCCCGGACAAAATTGCGTGATAATTAAACACTCACCGTGTGCGTGTTTTACTTGTGAAAAAACAAGTACAGCATTTCATCGATCCCCATTAATGCGCTTCAGTAACTAAGCGTGACCTTTCAGTTTTTTACGGATTTTTTTCTCTCAAAATCCGCGTACCTATACATACACCTATATAGCTGTACCTCGTTCCTAATTAAAACACTCTACTCAGTACTCTGCCGTCGGTATTTTTATTTGTTACGGTGTGGTGCAATTTCAATTTTTTCTCTGCAGTAAGATAGTGATGGATTTGAGCAAGGTTACGCAGGAGATTTTCACGAAGCTGGAGCAGAAATGGCTGCACCACTGTGAAGGAAAGCGAACGCGTGTTTTGAGCATCGACGGAGGAGGAACCACCGCCATTGTCGCTTGCGCCGCTCTGGTTCATCTGGAATACCAGATCCAACTCAAAACCGGCGATTCGAACGCTCGTATTGCTGATTTTTTCGATATTGTTGTCGGTACAGGAATCGGAGCTCTTCTCGCCGCAATGTTAGTCGCCGACGACGGTTTTGGCCGGCCGATTTACTCCGCCGGAGAGGCGGCTAAGTTCGTGGCGGAGAATCAGTCGCATCTCTTCAAAGTCAAAAACGTCGGGGTATTCCGCCGGCGAATTAGGTTTTCAGAGAGGAGCATGGACGCGGTGCTGAAGAAGGCCTTCCGGAGAGATGACGGCAGGGTTTTAACCCTCAAGGACACGTGTAAGCCTCTCCTCGTTCCGTGCTTTGACTTGAACAGCTCGGCGCCGTTTGTGTTCTCTCGAGCCGACGCCATCCAGTCGCCCAGCTTCGATTTCGATCTCTGGAAAGTGATCCGCGCCACGTCAGCTACGCCGTCGATGTTCAAGCCGTATCCGCTCTCGTCCAGCGACGGGAAGACCTCTTGCCTGGCGGTGGACGGCGGACTTGTGATGAACAACCCCACCGCCGCCGCCGTCACTCACGTTCTGCACAACAAGACCGATTTTCCGTCAGTAACCGGAGTTGATGATCTGTTGGTGCTGTCAATCGGAAACGGCGCGTTAAGTAATCCGTCAAGCATGACATTCAGCCGTAACGGCGACTGCTCGACGGCGTCACTCGTCGGCATCGTCCTTGACGGCGTCTCGGAAACCGTTGATCAAATGCTGGGCAATTCCTTCTGCTGGAATCCTAACGATTACATTAGAATTCAGGTAATTTTATTTAATTTAATCTAATGTAATTTCTTATTTAAAATTAATTTTCACCTTTCAGTTTACGGAAATAACTGTGTAATTAAGATCCCGACGGCGTTATCTAATTTGCAGGCTAACGGTATCGCGGGAACAACGGAGGAGTTGTTGGAGGAGAGAGGAGTGGAGTCGTTGCCGTTTGGCGGGAAGAGGTTGCTGACGGAGACTAACGGACAGAGAATCGGAAGTTTTGTGCAACGGCTTGTGGCGGCGGGAAGGAGCAGCCTGCCGCCGAGTCCGTGCAAGGAAACAGCCGTTAGCCCCCTAGTTAACGGCCGTTAATGTTAATTTGTTACCGTCTCTTCTTTAATTTGTCCTTTTCTGTTCAGTTTTATTATTTTATTATTAGCCCGATGTCAGTTAACTGTCTCTATTGTCAACTTTAACCAGTAGCAGTGCACTTAAATAAAACTCCTACATATAGTACTAGTGAGTAGTGAGTGACTGGCACTTGATTAAATAAATCGACTCTGTTCTCTCTTTCTCTTCAATTTATTATTAATTACACTACTGATTTATTAATCCAAGAGCCATAATATAAAATATAAAACGCCATTTAATTAATTAAATTAGGAAATTACAAGCTGGCAATTGTTTTACAGTTTTACTGCTCATAAAAGATAAAACCACCTGAAGCCGACAAGATTGGACTTATCTTCATTTATCACTGTACGTTTTCTGGGCCATGCTATAATCTATATATACTCCGGATTTTTTTTTTTTTTTTTTTTGTAAATAATTGCTTATTATTAATTACCTAATTGAAAAAGAACAATGAATTTTACTTATGTCAAATCAGTAAATGTATAAATGTTAAATTGAAGCTGGAGAAGTTATGTCACAAATAATATATAAGCTAGATTCTTCCCTAACAAAACTCCAACAACTTGCATTGAGTCTAGTCACTCAAATTAAAGTATTTATATGTAATATAAAAAAAGAACAGTCACTATGAAAACTAAAAATAAATAAATATATAAAAAGAACAGTATTTCGAAAACCTTTATTTTTTATTTTTAATTAATGCAGTTGATGCCTGTAAACGTGGACGTCGTGAATATGCAGTGGAACCCCGTTAACGTCGGTGGTGATGAAAACATTAAAAACATGGTTGACCAATCACACGTGCGAATGCTCGTCCAAGTCAAAATTCGGCACTAGCTATATAAATATTAGTCAAAATTAACATATGCATGTTGCGGATCTAATTGAGTTTAATTACTAATTAATTAGTAGTATGGAGACCGACAGAAAATTAGACCAACCGGTTTCCACCCATTCCGGCTTGTCCCAAGATCATCCGCACGTGCGTCTAGCTCTCTAAAAGTAATGTGTGTGTGTGTGTGTGTGTGTGTGAGAGAGAGAGAGAGATTGAGAGCGTTTTGTCTGTGGTGATTCAATGTTTATTTATTAACCTATTCAATTACGTGAATACTGTGTAGTGTATGTAACCAGAAGAGATAAATGTATGTATACACATAGGTGGACATTTGGGTATGGGTGCTGCTCAGCCTGCTCAACTATTCAATCTGCTTCGATTTAACTCAGTTTATCGTATTTGACTATAGCTCTGTAACTAAGCTATCTATGTAATATAATATTTTGTCTAAATTATGTATTGAAGCTCTCGAAAAGGACCTTTAGCAAATAGTAAAAACTCGTGTATGTGTCCTTTTAGTCATAAAAAATAAATTATGAGGGAGGAGATCCCTTGATTATATTATGCATGCATTTTATTAATATATTAATTTATATATTTAAGATTCAAGAACTATGTACAGATGAACATATATTTTAACGATTGTTATTTTTGCATGATTGCTTAGTTGATGGATAGATATATGTTGATAAGATCTTGTCCCATAACTAACGAAATTTCACTGCCTTTTCATTACATAATAAGGCCAAACAACTGTGTAAGGATAGATCATACTCTTCTATTACTTTTTCATTCATTCAAATCACCGACTTCTTTTTCATCCAAAAAAAAATAATAAAAAACT